CCTCGACCCTCGACCCTCCCCACTCGGTTCGGTGCGGTGGCGGCGGCGGCGGCGGCGGCGGCAGCGACGACGGTAAGGTAGGGTCTGTCACCGTCAGAACATCGAGGGGCCGCTGGACGAGTAACTCAGGGGGGAAAGCGGGAGAGGGGGTGAGAGGATTCAAAGGGGCGTAAGGGGCCGCTGTCGGGCATCCGGCGGCGCGGGGAAGGGAGGAAGTGAGGGAATGGGCGGCAGGGACCTTTCCGGACGGTGAGGGCAGGGCGGCGGGAGGGTAGTAGTACAGCATAGAACGAGGGGCCAAGGGGCGCCGGAGCGCTCATCGGCCGAAGGGGCTTCCATGGGTGTGTTAGGCTTGTGCTTAGAAGGGTATGTGCTTTGCCCACCGCTTTGCTCCTCCAGTATACATGTGCAGCCCGCTACGTGGATGTACAGTATCTTCGGTCTCTATCTTTCTTCCTTTCTCTCTCTTTAGTCGATCTTCGTCTATTCGAGTATGTGCTCTATCTGTATCTATACCACTCTGTGTGCGTGTGTCTCTTTCTCTTTCTCTTTTCCTCGCATTCTATCTGATTCTCTCTTTCTCTCCCCTCCCCCCTTTCTTTCTCTCTTCTTCTCTCTTTTTTTCTTTCTGCCTCTCTGTCATTCGTCGTCTTCTCCTCGTGTCGGACTCCGTTCTTTGCGTCATGCTGTTATGCCAGTGTGCCACTACCGGCGATACCTAATGTTGCCGCGGTACTTGAGAGACGTAAGTTACACGGCACCTTCGTCGAGAATGGTCCCTGCTGCCGCGCCGGTCCGCTGGCTTGCCTGCGTGCGACCTGGACGAAAGAGCACGCTGGACGGGTTTGCTTGCTCGATGCACATGCATTTTTAGGAAGAGCCTCTCTCTCCGTTTAAGTCTTCCGTATTATTAACTCGTTGTCGTCCTCGTCGTCTTGCCACTGGCCTGGGTTAATACCATGTCGATGATCTACGCGTAAATAATATACTACGTCGAACGCATATCCTGTTGCACGTAACCTAAATAATTCTGAAATCATCGATTATTCCTTGTCATTCGACAGTTTGGATTGCAAGACAATGATCTGTACCAATTTACACGTGCATTATACATGGTTATTAATATTGATTAATAATTTCGCGACATGCGCAATCGGGACGAATGTTTGAATAGAGGAAAATATCGCATCGACGAGATCGATCTTTAAATATACAATTTTCCTTACCTTTGCTTTTGTATTTTTATCTCCCCATTTAAGCTTTCCGTGTTATTAACCGATCATCGCACTACCAGCCCGGATTAATATTCCGTTTACAGCTGAAGCGAACGCATAAAGTCCAATAATTATCAAGGCGAGGAGATTGTCGGATATGCGTTCTATTGTCTTTATGTAATTATCATTTTAAATTGGTAATCCTAATTCGCGCGATGAATAAACTATTAAAAATCTAACAAAAATGACGATCATAAGAAGATATTCGTATGTAACTGGAATGTCATATCATCTTACGAAAATAATTTCGATACCTGTATCTTGGTATGTCATTCGTGAACAAACATGATAACCTGCGTGCTGTCTTTATGATAAATGAAGGAATTCGTGTAAACTTGGAAGATTTTGGTAATTTTGCAAACCAAAAATTCAAAAAATCGCAATTTTCCTTTGCTATAAATCTGAAACGCAACTAGAGTTGGTTAATTGTTAGCGATCTTGTTAGGTCAAGTACAAGCAAAGCTACAGAAAATCCACATTTTCTATGAAACGTGGCTAACCTTCGGCCAACTTCGATTCCAAACGATGTCACAAAATCCTTCCGAGATATTATTTGCTGGAGATAAAAAATGGAATAATCGAGGTCAATATAAATATTAAAAATTAATATAGAACGAAAAGAAATTAATTATTTGACTCATTGTAATAACAAGCTACCGTTTTATAAATTTTCAAAATTCATTTAGATGTAATGCTGTTATTAAGTCTTCCTACAGTCGATTAATTTGCGAAAAGTATTGTGAAATACTTATATTTGAGAATTTCAAAAATATGACAAATGTTAATCGCCGTAATCTCGACGAAGCCGCATCGTCGGAACTATCTGTACGATGGACAAACCGACGGACGACGACTGTGACGCAGGAGTGACCTCGTAAAAGGCTCTGTAGGATAGTCTTAGGGGAAGTGGCCAAGTTATCGGGCCAGCGTCGTAAAATACTTTTTCTCTCGACTTTATGACGGTTATACCCTCTGTGCACAGACGTCCTCGGGGCTCCACCTGTCCGCTCGACTTCCTTCAAAAAGGCGATCTTTTTATTGGCCGGTCCGTACTTTATTTACGACGTCTTCTGCACGAGAACCGTTTTTTTCTCTCCTCTCCCTCCCTCCCCCGCTTCCTCTATTCCTCCACCCCCACCCCCTCTCTCTCCTTCCTACCCCACTCTGTCCTCTGAAAAACGAAGGAAACTCGAGTCGCGATAAAGCGCGAACTCGTTGGGATTAATAACGTTTTCAACAATGCTGTATGGAATGCACACGGTAAATAAATGAATGGATGAATATATGAATGCATGCGCAGACACGCCTACGCTTTTGCTCTATGTCGCCGACAAAGGAAGTCACCGGCATGTCAATTGAAAAGTCGAAAGCGTAGGAAGAAAAAGCACGAGCTTTTCCTCCCCTCCCTCGCACGGAATAGACCCTAAGGAGATTATTTCTAATTCCTTTCGACGTCAATGGGACGAACGTTTACTCACCCTTATCGCACGGTAGTACGCGATAACGATCTAAGCAACAGTTTGCTTCGACGGGGAGTAGGAAACTTCGGGACACAAGGAACGTAAAAAAGCTTAAAACTTTTCGGTGAAAGTTCGATCTTTCCGATTCAATCCGACGTGAGATGATCACTGTCCTATCTACGAGCGATATCTTCGCGTCATTATCCTGATTATCGCTCCGATAAACGTATTTATTTTCGTCATCGGTATATCGAAGGATACTACATGAGCTCTTGAAGCAAAAAGTTGACGACTAACTTAATTTATTACGAAAACTTTTCGTACAATGCAATAAGTTGGCTTTATGTCTTTAGCTTTCACATCCGTAGAAGTTGTAACATATTATCGAATTGATTAGCAGTTTACTATTTGCTTACTAATTGCGTCGCTAATGTCTCATTGTTTTTAATTCGTAAGTTAAAAGTCTTGTTTAAGATTATGCGACGTAGCACAGAGCCTGCAACGTGACTAATAGCCAAGTCGAACGAAAAGGAAAGAATGAATTTTCGCTGCGTTCACGCATAAGCTCACATAGAGCTCACATAGAGAGAGCGTCATCTCAGCGAGTGAACAAAGTCCACTTTGGCATTAGACACCCTTGGTTTCTGAAGCCTCAGGCGGTAATCCCCCTACCCTTTGCCGTGGCACCCCTATAGATCTCTCTAGCCGAGCCACCCTCTCACTCCCTCATGGCAAGACCCTTTCTATCTCTCCCCCGACCGTCGCCGCTCTTTCCTCGGCCTCCCGCATCGCCTTCGCTACCTTCACCCTAACCCTCCGTCTCTCTCCGTCGCTCTCCCTTTCTCTCGCTCCGTCTATTACAGTCAGTTCCCTCCTCCGTCTATGTTTCTCGTTCCCTAGAGCAGCCCCTGCTTGCCTGCCGGTTTTTCTCCTCTCTTCCCCCGACCTTCGTCGTTCCTTACCGTCGGCAGTCGCCCTCGCCCGATGGTACCCTACCGACCCGTCCGCCTCGTTCCCCCCATCTTCCTCCATCCGTCCCTCGTACCCGCACAACCTTACAAAAAACCCAAGTCCAGTGTGGGCGCAACGGGGGGTTTCTCCCTTCGTCTCCTTTTACCCTCTTCCCATCATTCCTCCTTTACCTCTCCCTTAACCTTTTCCTGTCCTTCCCCCTGCTGTACCCGTTTTCCTCTCTTCCATCCACGCCCGTTCTCTTCTGTCTCTCTTACGAACCATGCTGTACCTTCGTTCCGTTCGTTCCCGAGTCTGTCGTCCTGTCTCGCTTTATCGCGTACCTGAAAGGCCGGCCTCTCGCTTTCACTCGAGTGCTAGTGATTCTCAACCGTCGCAGATGA